AAGCTGTACTCTCTGGGGACGGTCCTCCAAGAAGGAACGGAGCCAGGCAAATGCCCGGCCACCTATTCCCAACTCAGTGAGCCTCCCCAGGAGGATCCCGTGGTCGATGGTATCAAAGGCCGCTGAGATATCGAGGAGGACCAGCAGAGACATTTTGCCTCTGTCGGCCTCCCTCAACAGGTCATCACACAGGGCGACCAATGCCGTCTCTGTTCCATGGCGCGGCCTGAAGCCCGATTGGAATGGATCCAGGGCATCTGTGTCATCCAGGAACGCCTGAAGCTGATCGGCCACCACCCTCTCGACTACCTTGCTTAAGAAAGAAACATTGGCGACAGGCCTATAATTGCCAATTTCGTCCGCCGCCAAACTAGGTTTCTTTCTTATGGGCCTAATGAGTGTATCCTTGAGGGCAGAGGGAAATCTGCCCTCAAGGAAAGACCCATTAATTATTACAGTAGCCCATTCTGTTGTTGAAGGCCTGGCTGCCTTGATTAGCCAGGCCGGGCAAGGGTCCAAAGAGGAGGTGGAGGCATGGCAGCGATCAAGCGTCCTGGCCACAGGCTGAAAGGAATCAAAAATCACCGGACAAGACGGAGCGCTGGACATCTCAGCTCGACTCACTGTATTCAAAAAAGGGGACAGGTCCCGGCGGATGGCCTCCACTTTAGATTTTAAAAATGCTGCAAATTGGTCCGGTGTAAAACTAGGGGGAGGCCTATCACCTGGGCCAATTCCGGATAGGTCACGTACTATACGGAATAATTCCGCCTGCTGATTAGACGCCTCGCTTATCTGGTTAGCGAGGTATGTTCGACTGGCAGCCTTTACCAATGGAATTTTTCTTACAGACCACTGAAAACATCCAGTGATAATGACTATTTTTCCATCCACAGATCAGTGGTGTCTAGTCTGATGAAGGCCAGTTGGGTTCATTTGGCTGTCATTTTTTTAAAAAAGTGATCTTAACACCCTTAACACCATACAAAGTAGTCTCACATATCAACTGAGGCTTGATGTAGAACATGGAAGCCTGTCCCATTTAACGTTAAAGAAAGTCCTTTTAGTGACTCAGGCTCTTCAGTTCCTAGGACCTTTAAATACTGGCTAGACTCCTGGATCCGACCTTCAAGGAGCTCCACAGGCCACAGTGCACCTTGGGGTGCCTTTAAGGATAACGTTTTGCAAGGAACTGCCAGAAATATATCAAAAGAGAAACTTACCTTAGTGAGGGAGCATGCACCGACCAGCCAAAGTCTGCCAGCTTCAGCTCTCCTCTTAATCCTAACAGGAGGTTTTCTGGCTTAATGTCTCTGTGGATCACTTTCTGAGCGTGACAATACATCAAAGCATCCGATATTTCTTCCATATACTGTGGGATTTATCGTATCCAAAACTCAATACCAGCTAACATCCTCTTGAATAGTAAACAGAGATTGCATACAGCTGTGCCTATTTTTTTTACCAGCTGTGATTGAGGTAGGAAGTGACCTCTCCACACCAGCAAATTGAAAAAGAAAAGGATAATAAGCCTTAAATTAAGTGGATGCACCTACAATGATATAATCATGACAGGCATTGGGGTGAGGCCACGGTGGGAGAAGAGACATGAACACATCAGAGGCTGGCAGCTTGCCTAAAGCACAGTCAGAGCTTTGGGTTTACATGTTAACAGAGGAACATAAGACAGTGAGCGAGAAGCGGCGCTCACTCTGCAGCACAGAAACCTTCGTTCCACATCCATCTGTAAACAGCCATTATGTGTGAGCCTTGGAGTTGCTATGCACCCTACTTTACGTCATCGTCGTCGTAGTAATGATGATGATGATAATAGTAGTTGTTGTATGAAGCTTGCCTAAGGCCACACAGGCTGGCTCTTCCCCCAGGAGACACAGTGGGGAATCAAACTCCCAGCCTCCAGCTCTGTAGCCAGATACCTAACTCCCTGAGCTATCCAGTTAGCTACTTTGCAGAGAACAGTTCTCTGTTTGAAAGGCTGTCCAGCTCAACTCCCACTTCACAATAAAGAACTATAAGAAGAAAGAACAGCAGGACCCCCAAAGTTGAAGACAAACAATATAGACCAGATCCACAGCCCCTGAGCGCAATCCTCCCACTATGATGAGACTGACTGATTGAAAACATTTATTTAACAGTTATGGCCATTTGATATTACAGTACCTGTTTTTGCATTCCATTTAAAAATAATTATTTCTGTTAGACAGTGTCTGGGAATCTCATGTGATACTGAGGTTCACTTGAATAGATCAGTTGTTGTTGTTGTTGTTGTTGTTGTTGTTGTTTGTTTATTTATTTATTTATTTATTTATTTATTTATTATGTTATCATGATCATATGCACATCCATATTCTTTTGTTTAGGCAATGCATTTCCTCTATTAACAGATTGATTGGAAATGTGTTAGTGGTCACTCTAATTAACCCCCACCCTTACTATCCTCCTTCCTCTTCGGTCTTCTTTAGATAGTAAGTTTCTTGGGAAGTGGAGCCAACTTCTGCTTGGGGATTATGCAACATGCTAATTACTGCAGAATGCACCGTAGGATGTTGTACTGTTCCATATGTGGGATATGCTTCACCTTGCTATATAAATTTAAAAAGCTTCCCCCACTTTTCTACTAACAGAGAAGCAGCATTTGGTTTTCGTACTCACAGTTGCTGTCCTGGTGTCATCGAAGCGCTTTTTCTTTTGTAGCTCCTTATAGAGTTCCCCCTTTGGAGCATATTCCAACATCAGAAAAATCCGTGTCTGATCATGAAAGTAGTTGTACATCCTCAAGATATTTGGATGTCTAGAGAAAGCAATAAAGAGGAGGGAGGGAGAATTATGTTTTGACCCGTATGAATGAGCAATTGTAATGGACAGCCATGGATATCTTCACAGAAAACCAAGAGAATGGGCAAAATCCAGTTATGGGTTCCAACTAGAACAGACCCATTTAATCAATGGGACCTACACAAGTGTTAACTTACTAAAGTCTCATTGATTCAATGAGTATTTTAAAGTTGGGGCTAACTTTTAGATTTAGGCCAAGAGTCAGCAAAGTTGGAGCCCTCTAGATGTTGGACAGACAATCCCAGAATTCTTCACCAGTGGCTACAGTGGCTATGGATAATGGGAGCTGAAGTCCAAAACATCTGGCAGGCACCATTTGCCTTCTCCCAGTTTATCCTGAGTTTACACATGAATTGTACCAGGAAGATTTCCAAAATGGTCTCCTTCATGAAGAAAATACTTTTGTAATATGAGTTACTCACAGCCAGACCTATGCAAGTCTACCACATATATGTTTGGGTTCAGTGTCTTTAACATTCAGTGGGTGAATATTAATAGAACTGAAGGCTAAGGGTCACCAGCTGTTCTTTTATCTGTTTATATAGGAAAATGTAAAGTCTTTCAACTGCTAAGGCTTTCAAATCTGTTTCCATATCTCAAGAGCTTTCAAATCTGTTTCCATATCTTTGTTTGAAGCAGTAGGGTGAAAATTTAAACCACCTCAAGGTAGTAGTAGCAGCACAGCACATAAACCAACACCTCATAAATAAAAGGTTTTATTTATTTTATTTCCTGCTTCTCTAGCAGTACTTGTGTGTGGCGGGACAGTTCCCCCACTAAAGAGTCACTTTCTTTGTGAGGCACAGAAGAATAAATCAAATCGAAAGTTATTTTCAGAAGAAGATTCTGCTTAGGCCAAAACAAATGGATAGGATTTGCTTTTGTGAATCTTCTAATAGTTGACATGCAAGCAACAAATCTTTTCTTCTCACAGATGGTTATGCTTTGTTATTAGACTTAGACATGGTCCATAAGCATAACCATCTGTGAGAAGCAGCTACAAGGAGGTTCACACTCATACCCTATTGATTTTTATGACTGCCTTTACGTATGTTTTCCCCTCATGCATACTTTTCAATATGTCTGAATGACCAAAGAATGAGGAAAACACAACTGCAGAGGAATTCTAGTGCATAAATTTCAGATTAGGAGATATTTTAATTCTTAATCAGTCTTATGTGCTTAGGGCTCCTCCAGACACGACATTTGTACTTTTTAAGTTTCCCTTCAAGCATGGATCATACTGGAAATTCTCCTGTGATCCACATAGTGTTCCCTTAATCCCACTTCATACTGCTTCTTCCCTCCCCCTTTCTATCCTTCCCAAATCTCTGCTTCATTTTTTTTATCTCTACTTGTTTCAGGGGACAGAATTTTAGAGTGTGATTCCACTGGCAAAAAGAACCACAATTAAATCAACCTTGGCATTATATAAATTAATTTATAAATTTGTGGGCACACAACGCATGGGCAGAATCAATTTATTTGGGCTGCTAAGTGAGTTTTTTAAAAATTTGCTAGCAGGATTTTTTTTTAAAAAAATACCTCACTTGTAAATCCATTTATTTCAATTTGGTTTGATGGTTGTGAACGCTACCGTTGATTTACTGTGAAGGACAGGCCAGTAACCACTCCTTTCCATCACAATGGAACTCTAATTCAGGTGTCAATGGTTGAACAGAAGAGGTGAAACTAAGGAAATATAAGAGGAATGGAAGACAGTTAAAGATCAGTTAGAGATATGAGTTTGAAGTTAGATTTAGGGAC